AAAGGAATGATTATTCATTGGTCTGTATATGAATAATTGACATACCATTTGAAAGAGAAGACATGTGGGTTCCTGGTAAACTAAATCAAATTGATATAATTATAACTGGTTTTGTAATTTTACAATGTCTTTGTTTGTTGCGTTTTTTGGGACGCACTGTATAATAAGAATGAACTAATGGCTATAGACACCCCTGGGGTAACCTAACATTTTTTGAAAAATGCAATGTCATTAATATCCTTGCTATCTAGGATCAAAGTGAAGATAAATATGTATACTTTAAAGAAATACCAATAAAAAACATTCAACATTACTGATTTATGCATATTTTGGTCGATTTGGAAATATGTATCACTTCCTGTGAAATTGTGACTTTTTATCAGTTTCAGAAAATATCTCCAGAATGCATAAACCAAACTTGACAGATGTCCCATTGTTTCATTATGTCACTCTAAAACACTCATGGGATTAATATTTGTACACATAAATAGTCATATTTTATGAGCCATTGAGTATGGATTAGTTATGCTTGCAGTTGTGGCGACCTACGTATTTTTAGAGAGAGGAAAGTCATGATAAACTCTTGCTATGTTCATATAACGCCTTCTTCTTACCTAGAAAGTTATATGAAGTGAGGGAATAGTGTACCAAAGGTACTTCTGAGATATGTAAAAATCTAGGTAAGGACCAGGCGTTGTGCAAAAATTTAACTTTTATGCAATTTTCAGCATGAAATAAAATGATGTCAGAATATCCTACTGTAGAATACATGTTCATTCATATAGATGTACATACAAACTTGATGGGATTGTTGCACAATCATTTAATCCTCATGTGACAGGTGTCACCTTTGTCAATGAATAGTATTTTTATATTATCACAGTTAATTGGCTGATCATACCAATATGGTCATATTTAGAAATCAAACTAAACTTAGTGTACATTGTGCAGAAGTAATCAGTAGTCAGGAAAAGATCATTTGCTTGTACTGTAAAATGCCAAAAGCAAAGGCCACTGTATGTGTGACTTGCAATCACCAAGTACCCACTAAATGGATACAGAGAGGATCACATGTAAATCAAAGGCAGGTAGAGCATGTGAAAAAATACATAAGAAAGAATTGCCACCAAACCCAGTTATGTGTAACAAGTGTCTTTGTGACTTGAAATTACTACTCATTCCAACCCTTGCATCAGGAGATCATAGTGATGATGATATACCACCACCAATTAAACATGGCCCACCATTCTTACTAACAACATCTTTAAAAAAAGTGTTGCATAGTTTGTAATAGAATATTGAAATCCCAGGTAATAATTTATTCTGCAATCAAATGTGATTAGTAAAAGTTAATCTCGACTAGATATTGTACCTGGCAGGCTGTCATATTTTTCTAAACATACCGGCTATTACTATTTTGAGTTTTATTTTGAATATTATTTAAAGAAATAAAGACCATGATTTTATGATTTTTGCCGTGATATATGAGCGAAAAATGTATTCTGTTCATTGTTAAGGTCTTTGGCAATGGCCAGAATAAAATTTGAGGTCATATATTTGACATAAATCATAAAATCGAGGTCGTTGTTACGATTCTAATATGATAAACAGACAAGAAAAACAAATATTTGCATTTATGAATTTTATTGGTTATACATACTCCAATATAGACCAGTAAATCAGTTGTTCTAGTTATTGTGGCGTCACGGAATAGAAGATAATATATAGAGATTATCCTATATGAGGTTCAGGATATTGGGATTATCCCGAGGCTAATATAATATATTTGCCCGAGGCCGCAGGTCCCGAGGGAAAATATATTATATTGGCCAAGGGATAATCCCAATATCCTGAACCGACTATAGGATAATATGTTTATACCATACCAATCTTGGTCATCTGGTTAACATTGTTCAATCGTGGAAATATTTTAGAATATTCATGTCCAGTTTTGTTTTCTTGGCCGTGGGCGGATTTTCCTGTTCTCTCAAATAATCCCATATTTATTTTCTCTAATTTTTGATTGATTAAGTGGATGCTCCTTCCCTTTTTTAAACCATCAAACATATCCCGATAGTCTGTGTTTTCTCCATTGTCGTTTACAGTCATTACGCGAACGTTTCAAATTATGAACAAATATGCGAGCGGCGATTATGACGTAGCGGGCAGATATACTATATCTGCCCGCTCGGAGCGGGACGTAAAGCTATATCTGCCCGCTGATGAAAATATAAGTTTTTACAAACCGGCTTTATGTACCTGTAACACGTCCAAGTATGGGATAAAATGTTATATGAATGTTCCATTCTTAATCAACTGATCATTGAACAAATCTGGTTGTAGATATTTCTTAATATATCGAGAATGCTACCCCATGATTATCTACTATTGTATACCAATGCCACTCATAGGTTTCAATTGTGGTATTGCTAGGGTTTATTACTCGTATTGACAAAATATACAACTCTGTAAATGATTTATAAAGGTCAGAATGACCTAATTTTTAAATTTGGTTGTCAAACAAAGTCCCTTCTTTGTCTGTACAATTTATTCGAAATATCTTAGGGGCTAATATATTGTCTTAAAGCCACTCGTCTTTTATAATAAACGGTATTTCAGAAATTCAAACTGTATATTTTCGTCATCTGAAGACCTATATTTCAATATCAATCCTTCTATTCAAGGTATGGGACTTAATTGGGAGTCAATTTTGATTTCAGGGAACTTTTACATTTTTTGAAAATAAGTCGGTCGTATCGACACGACTGCGATGTATATCTATTTAATGATTTTGAAAAAAGACTTTTAATGTGTACCATAAAATATTTCAATATATAAAAGAAACACTTAATCACGTATATATGCAATGTAAATTCTGTATAATAATTTATCAAGACACATGGAACATGATAGAACAAAATAACCCAATATATAAAAGTATATGCAATACATTTGGACTGGGGGCTATTCATGAATCGAGCCACTAAAATCATGTCAAAAACATTGAAATGTGAACGAATAAACGTTATTCCGAAAAAGAATCAGCTCTAATGCACCATTCAAAAGTTTGTGCGAGATCCCCCACGCGGGCATGGAGGGGGAATTTGACAAAAAAAACTGGCCTGTCTAATTCCTTAACCTGGGGCCAAATGAATGTGTCAATTTCCCTATCTATCAAACTATCTGCAGTCTCCAGCGCGTGTCAGAAGTTAAAAGGCTCTTCTGCATCGCTGGTAGGAATTGGTGTGCATCCGAAGGTCCTCACCCCTATTACTGACATACATCTTATTATAAGACCATTTGTATTCCCACTTCACTTTACGGATGCGAGCTGTTGTTTAATATCACAAAATCGGAAATTCTTCAATTAGAAATTGCTCATCGTTTCATCCTCAAAAGTCTATTCGAATTATTAAAATCTACCAGAACTGATATTGTATACGCCTCAACTGATCTGTTATCAGTACAGTTCACACTTGACGAAAGCTGTCGTTTCTCGGTCTGCTTTGCAACATGCAACAGTTTACGTTGACAAAGGACATCTTTCTGTTTAGAGCAAATTTGCTCTATGGCGGAAATCACAGGCAGGCAGGATTTGTCGCAGATATATCAAACATTCTGATAACATACGACTTAGAACAATACCTGATTCAATATCTAGACAACGGTTATGTTCCAAATAACATCTTGTGGAAACGCATTTGCAAATATGTAGTCAGACAACGCTACCTATTTCAGACTGAATCTCAAAACGCAATGACAGCAGCATTTCAGAAGATAATATGATGTTATTATTTTCCATTCTTAATCAACTGATCAATTGTGGTATTGCTAGGGTTTATTACTTGTATTGACAAAATATACAACTCTGTAAATGATTTATCTTTGGATCACTTGTGAGGTTTTTCATATTCTTTTCAAACTACAACTTTGTCTGCTGATGCCCGTCTGAAGGTAATTATTGAACAAGGTGTCTTAATTCCACATAGGGTTAAGTGCTGTAATTTTCATCTCATCAGTAGTCATCTTGATCCGTCTGTGAAATTACAATGTACCACTAACATGCATCCCTGACGTCATCTGAACTGCTAGAAATGCTTGTCAAAGTACGCATGATTGACAAAGAGTCTAAAACCAATTAACAGTGAAGAATATTACACCTTGACTGGACTAAGCAGAGATCAGTTTAAATAACTGTCAGATGGGTTTAATTGAAAGTGTCCATGGAAGATTAAAGACATTGGCTTTCTTCAATAATGTTGTCTCAAATACCCAGATCCCATTCATTATGGATTACCTCAAAATAATAGGAATAATAATATTTTGTTAATAAATAGTAAAAGAGTGACAATAATGATGTGAAAGGAGTGATTATTCCTTCAATAGCCCATTTTATACATTTATTA